TCAGTGGAAAACAATGACATCTCATGGTAACACACTAGGGCCACTTCGGACATTCTCAACGGTCTCCCTTTCTAAAAATGATTTATAGGCTGCTTTCTCTCATACTTGTTGTTTAGTTCCTTAATCTTCATGCAACTGATAGCTAGTGTCAATGCCAAATAAGGGCTATAACTCTTTAAAAAACGATAGCACAGCCTGAGTTTACTCTCTCTCTGACTCCAAGGTACTCTCTATTTTCTCTAACCTGAGAAGTTACACTGAAACCAGTGCAGAATGGTGCCTGCTGGAACTCTCTCTGAGGCTATCTGGGTCTCTCTACCCGTCTCTCTGCTGGGCTGTGTAGCACCCAGGCCAGGCAGACCGAGCCCTTAGGACTCAGTGGGGCATTGAGGTGTCTCTGGGAGACTGCAGCCTGGGCGGCGCGCTCCTCTTCCCCCCTCTCTTCTCCTCCCTTCTCCTCTCTCCTTCTCCTCCCTCCCCTCTCCTCTTCCTCTCTCCTCCTCTTCTTCCTCATACGTCTCTCTCCTCCTGCTCATCCAGGGGTCTGGGCTGCTGACTGTAGAGTGGATCCACTGGTGGGATGGGCCTGTGATCCAGAGAGGGATCATCGTGTGTGTGGTGTTATGGGCATGAGGCGCCATTGGGCACTGGGCCACAGGTTAATGACTACGACGCTCTGATTATCCAATCCTTCATACTCCTGTCTCCTACTTTATTGATCTTCCATCAATCAACCCTTTCTGTAATGTCAGTGTACTGGAAAATAATATTGATGCATATCTAAAGAGGACTAGCCTATAAATCCATCTCCACTCACTCTGTAGTACCAGCAAGAGAGCTAGCGTCTATTGCATTAGCTGTCATAGAAACACACTACATAAAGCATGATTCTCATGCACTCTGACAAAGCCTTGCAACTCAAGGTACAGTACATCCTTGTCCTCACGCATACAATATTTTCCCATGCTTTGTGAGTGCCTTGCAATATAAGAGTGATGAAACCGTAATATGTTGGTGTGTCAACAAACAGTAATGGCGTCTGGGGCTCATTAGAGATGAGGGGCACAGTCAGACAGTGCAGCAACATGGTCCTCTCCTCTTCAGCCAATGGCGTGGCTCTGTGCAGTACAATGTTGCCTCCACTGCACTCTGCTTGGCTACAGAGTCCTGCTGCATTATTTAGCCATCCAGCTCAGCAGGCATTAGGGCTCCAGTCCCCATGGACACGTTTGAGTCTAATCCACTGGAACAGCCGAGAGCTCTGGGGATCCAGAGAGACCAGCCTCACCATCACACCACACACACACACCTCTCTCTCTGCAGTGAATGCAGACACATTGTATTGGCAGATAGGAACCAAAAGGTTTTTAAGGGTGTTTGGGTTATTGTCTGTCACATTCTCTCCCCACCATTTTCTAGATTTTTCTGCGTGTGAATTTGATTCTCATCATGTTGGAGAAGAAGAGGTGGAGTGTTTCAAGCTGATTCTCTAAAAGCCTATGGGAAATTATAAAACTACGTCTGGATATTAGGATTCTTGAGTCACACTCCCCTCTGTCTCTTTCCCCACCCTGTCCCTCTCTCCCACCCTGTCTCTAATGCCCCAGAGACGGAACCGTCCCTTCTCTGATTGTAAAACAATATCCAGACCATCAGGAATGCTCCCATAAAGCCAAATGAGTAGAAGCAGTTTGGGTTTCCGTGTAGATTCCCAGTGTTTAATGAGGCCTAGATGTTTGGCCAAATCTGTCATTAGTTTGGTAGTAGGACAATGTGTAGGCCTACTTTGGGACTGTTTGTTTTTTTATGATGCAAATCTAAAAAAAGCCTTTTGAGGTATACCCTTTGAGTGTCCTTATAGGAATCATAGGGCTGGGAATTGCCAGGGATCTCACGATACGTACAGTTGAAATCGGAGGTTTACGTACACCTTAGCCAAATACATTTAAACTCAGTTTTTCACAATTCCTGACATTTAATCCTAGTAAAAATTCCCTGTCTTAGGTCAGTTAGGATCACCACTTTATTTTAAGAATGTGAAATGCTTTTATTTATTCCATCACATTCCCAGTGGGTCAGAAGTTTACATACACTCAATTAGTATTTGGTAGCATTGCCTTTATACCGTTTAACCATGTGCTCTGTTAAATCATTAGCAGACAGCCCAGGCCTTTTGCTTATTCCAACCCGCCAATTTCAATTAGGCTGCAGCCCTGCACCCAGCTCTAACCCATCTCCACTTGGCCTGCTAGTCCTCCTCACTGGGTGTATTGTTGGCTGTGCCACCATTTTACTCTGTGGGCTGGTTCAGCTTGGTTCAGTATGACAATTGAACATTGCACGGTATGCATCATCGCCTGCACCGCTGCATTATTGAACACACTTTGTGTGTTTTCAGGGCAACTCGCTAGCATTCATAATTCAACCACTCATTTACTGTAATGTGCCAAAGCATGACTTTATGTTCCCAAAGAAGATTTCTGGTGCTCTGTCTACACCATAAAGATAAAAAATACAGGTTAATCATCAAAACTTGTCAAGTCAAAGCTTGGCGCGCATGCATAGGGAATGTACACACAAACGCTGTCGTAAAACGTACGCAAACTCGCTTGGCATGTGATTGCAAATGAGGCAATACTATTGCTGTGGCCTCTACTCTTCGCTGCTTCCAAGGCTAAAGCTGACAGGGCAAAGCCCTTGGTCCTGAAGTGCCTTCTGTTAGCATGTTAATGACTGAGCTAATCGACCTGCACTGTAGAGCGCTGGCCAATGGAAGAATCCTAATGAGGCTAGCTAGTAGCTCGCTAGCGTAGCATAGGCCTAGCTCCACCTCTGTAACGGATGGCTTCAGTCCATAGAGACCCATAGTGGATGATCTGCCTCCCTTGCCAAAGTTTGTTTCCATGGAGCGTTGACCCGGTAACGACAGCCCTCAGGAAGGAGCATCTACCTCAACAACACCGTGGGGCTTTGGGTCATATGTGTTTACCTCACCTCCAGTTGAACATAGCGTAAATAACGTTGTGATGTTTTTGAAAAGGCTGTAAGAGACTGTGTTAGCCTATATGGATGGAATGTATAATACCTGACGTCTGTGACTCTGTACTTTTACAGCCACCAATGAGATTAGGTTGCTTTTCTCGTTCCAATGAGATGTAGCCATCAAACATTTTATTGGGAATTACATGACACGGAGCAGGAGACAGTAATTCATATCAAGACTATTCTGCTTGTGCTGCAGTCTCTCTCTGTCAGACACAATTATCAGCTAGGGCACAGACCTATTCCATTGCATTTGCACTGTAACCCAAGATTCAATTTGAAGCATCTGAAATCTCCTGCCTAATGAGCGAACTGACATTGTTTTTTATGTTGTTTGTTTTTTACAGTGCTGCCTAATGCACTCCAAGGCATGTCTTCCGCATTATCAATAGTAAACGTGTGTAAAATCAATTTTGCTGTGTGGCCACAATACTTATTCTGTTGACCAGTCAGCACTAAAGTGCTTTAGTAGTAGAAAGAGCTGGCCCTGAACATTTGTCCTCCCCATCAGCCTTCTGTTTATTTTATTTAACCTATATTTAACTAGGCAAGTCAATTAAGAACAAATTCTTATTTACAATGACGGTTCCCGTTCTGATTGGTCAATATGTAGCGCAGAGGGGCGTGCCATGGTGGAAGATGCAAGGTCATGTGTAAAGAGGTTTATTTGAAACCAAACAAAGGCAACACCTTAGACACACACAACTCAGAATCCACCTGGTGCCAAATCATGTCTCTCAGGGCTTCATTCCTCTGGCTACCAGGATGTTGCTGCCTCCCAGCTGATAAGATGTTGCTGCTTGCTGATGGTCTCTTTTTTCTCTCTAGCCCTCTCTTTTCTCCTCTCTCACTCTCTCCCTCTCTCTCTCTCTCTCTCTCTGTCCCTCTCTCTCTCTCTGTCCCTCTCTCTCTCTCTCTGTCCCTCGCGCTCTCTCTCTCTCTCTCTCGCGCTCTCTCTCTCTCTCTCTCGCTCTCGCTCTCGCTCTCGCTCTCGCTCTCGCTCTCGCTCTCGCTCTCGCTCTCGCTCTCGCTCTCGCTCTCGCTCTCGCTCTCTCTCGCTCTCTCTCGCTCTCTCTCGCTCTCTCTCTCTCTGCAGACTATCTCATGTAACAGTGTCTGTTGCCAGAGAGAGGAGAAAAGAGGCATTAAAAAAGCCTCAACAGTGTCTTTCTCTGGATACCAGCATACCTTAAATGTCTCAACTCTCCCAAGGAGGAGAAACACAAATGCACAGCCCTCTTTCTTTTTCCCTTCATCCCCCTCTGTCTAGAATGCAGTGTCATTGTCCTTTGTGGACTTTTTATGGTTATTGTCCCTCCGGCCGAGGCAATGTGTTACCCGGAGGAGGTAGTCTGTGGTAGAGTTTGTCCCTTTTGTCCACAATGCAATTCATCCCAAATTGCTCCTTCATTCCATGAGTGTCAAAGGACCAATATGCAGTGATCACGCAATCCATGGGCTTCTGTGGGGATTTTCCTGTAATGCCCATACTGTGTCTAGTTCTGCTGTGCAGGTGAATACAGGGCCAGCTGAAGAGAGCTGCCAAGCAGTCCCAAACTGCTGCATGTCTGTCTGTCTGTCTGTCTGCAGGGCAAATGTCAGCTCACACCCAAGAGATACCCCGGGGGAGTGCATTCTCTCGAGTTTATCTGACACTTTCCGCACACAACCATACAGCTGTTGTGTTCATGAGCCACATAAATGAACCCTGTCGTAACGAACTGTGAAAGATGAATTGTGTAATTTAAGGTTGTCATTTAAGTTTTGTAAGAGCGTTTTCCGTTAAATGAAATTCATGAGGAATGATGTTAGAAATATTTATCCCGAGCCCAGTTCTCTAAATAATCTGCCTCGCTGCTGTTGTAGGTCGTTATATATAAATGTCAACTGTTCTTTATAATTTATGATTAGTGTCATGATTTTCATTCTCTTCTCTTTTTTCTTCCTTCACTCTGCAGAAACGGGCGAAAGGCCAGTACCTGTTTTTCAAAGTGTGTGAAGCCCTGAACCTACTGGAGAAGGACTACTTTGGGTTGAGTTACAAAGACAACGCTGACCAGACGGTAAAGTCTTTTTTTTTTTTTTTTTTTTTTTTTTTTTTTTTACATGTACAGTAAGATAGGCTTTTCCAGAACAGGGAACACATGACAAAAGCCTTCCAATCCATTTATTTGTTTTAAGTATGCTTTGTTTCTGAAGTACCAGTACTACTTTAGACCTAACTACTTCATAAAACAACATTCTCGCCTAATGGCACAGATGTTTTTGCATTTATGTCCTAAAACTTTTAATTGTTCCTCAATTAAATAATTAGCTAGACTTTTATTCTACTACAATGACTAATGGCTTGACTTGTAACTGCAACCGCATAATATCCCTCATGATCAATAGACATTCCAAACCTTTCAGCGGGCCTAATAGACCATATAATTGATTGTTTTAACAAAGGCCTGAATGAACCAACAGTGATTCTTGAAACTCAGATGGATGATAAAGTACTTCACTGTGTACTAAGTCCAGCCCATCCTCACAGGATGACTGAAGTGTGCAGTAAACCTCCAGAGAACCCAGATATGCTTCCAGGGAATAACATTAGTTCTTTTCCATATCTCTGTGGACACAGTTTATTGGGGAGCTCTGTAATATCACTGGTTGGAGACAAACGAGGCTCCGCTCACAAACTTCAGTCCAAAGTTCCTCTGCTCTCGCCCACTGCCAAGCAGGCCTGTTTCACAGAAGACCTGGGTTCAAATGAGTGTTGGGGTCAATTCCATTTCAATTCAGAAAGTAAACAAAATTCAAATTCAGAATGTTCCTAATTGAAAAGCATTGAGGATAGGCCTAAGTGTAATTTCAGTGTACTTCCTGAATTGATTGAAATTGAAATGGAATTGACCCCAACACTGGTTCAAATACTATTTGATTAGCACTTTTGGGACTTCTATTGGTTCCATTGCAACAGCCAATCAATCAAGCACACCTAAAGTATTTTAAATGATTTAAAATAGCAATTGAAACCAGGCCTTGTTCACAGACCGTATCCTCCTCACATCTTATGGCTTTGGGCCTGGATGTTAAACTCTCGCCTGCACACTGTAACTGGAGCATAATGACAGACAGTCAACACGCTCCACAGTCTGTCTGCAGGCTCCAGATCAGTCAGTGAGGGAGACTGTTGGGAGAGAATGCTGAGCTTAGTTCCACGTTGACACTGGAAACTGCAGGCTAGCCACAGGGGCGGGGGGTGGAGAGGAGGGAAGAGGCTAGACTGTAGTTTAGTGGAATGTGTTTTCATCATGTGTGTTCGTTTATATGAAAGTGGTGCACAGCAGTTCAGGGATCAGACCAGTAATGACAACCATGGCTAGTTTTGTTGTGTCTGTCTAGTGGTCTGGAGTCTGGATTGGTGCCAAATTGAGAGTTTAGCTCTTTACAGCAGCTCTGTGCCAAATGCTTCCTTCTGTGTCATGTTTAGGATTTTCTTGACATACCTGATATACTACAGTATTTGAGAAGGGAAATAAAAAAGGCCTAGTGTATTTAGATTAGTGTTCTATGTTTAGGTGGTATAGTCTTACCAAGTAGTTATTTGCAATATGGACGCTTTTACAATAAAAATATTGCCTGCATTTTTCTAACATGAGTTGTCAATCACCATGGTTACTCAACAGGGAAGATACTGTGTGTTAGAATTTCTGTATACTTGTTCAAACCAAAGCTAATATCTCCTTTGTTTCTCTTCTATAGTGCTGGCTTGACCCTACAAAGGAGATCAAACGTCAGATCCGCAGTAAGTTGTGGCTTTTTAACCTTTTGAAACTTTCTGTATGAAGTGTCTCATTAAGTAACAGGGCCACCGGAGTTCACACTAATTGGCTTTACTGTACATACCAACCTAATGAAAGGCTTCCACACTATACCCTATAATTTCCACTAGCTAAGCACCCCTATCATTCTATCCCCCAACTCTCTATTCCAATAGAACTAATGTTACTGTAGACATTTACTGGATCTTGAGCAGATACACATTATTTTTCTTCTGCTGTGGTGACATGCTCTTTTCACATCTGGTCACTGGATTGCAGTAATTCTGGATGGGGCTGGGGGGATGCGTTTGGGATGACGTGTGTTGAGTGGAGGGAGGCTGCTCTCTGCTGAACCTCTCGGCCAGGGCAGAGAGAAGGGGGATGCTCGCCCCCCCATCGCCAGTCTGATACGTCCAGAGCACTTAGCACTGCCAGTAACACCGACCAGGCGTTTACACACACACACACACACACACACACACACACACACACACACACACAGTATGCCCCGGAGGGAATTCACTCTTGCCATGGGAACGGCAGCTCCGAGCGGAGGTACTTTCCTGTCCAGGGCCTGGGATGCGTTACCCTGCTGTTAAAGTCTACAGCGGCCCAAAACTGGCCTCTTTCTCTCTCTTTAGCTTGATGTATCCGTTTACATCATGATCAGGGTCTCTGGGCTGGGCTGGGCCCTCCTTCAGGGGCGAGAAAGGGAATGGGATCCTCCCTCTGAAAGATGCAGCAGTCAGAAGGCTGCTTCATGTGTTGGACCCCTGCCTGGTGCAAAAAAGACCCAGAGTGCTGCCTGATAGTGATTCATGTGTTATTGTCGAACATTTAAGAGCAGATGACCGTGAGCAAAGAAATCCCCATTCTACCTGGCTGTCCAGCAGCCAAAGCTATGTCTATTTTCTAGCCTTATCAATTCAATTCAATTTCAATTTAAGGGCTTTATTGGCATGGGAAACGTGTGTTAACATTGCCAAAGCAAGTGAAGTAGATAGTAAACAAAAGTGAAATAAACAATAAATATTAACAGTAAACATTACACTCAGAAGTTTCAAAAGAATAAAGACATTTCAAATGTCATATTATGTATATATACAGTGTTGTAACAATGTGCAAATAGTTAAAGTACAAATGGGAAAATAAATAAACATAAATATGGGTTGTATTTACAATGGTGTTTGTTCTTCACTGGTTGCCCTTTTCTTGTGGCAACAGGTCACAAATCTTGCAGCTGTGATGGCACACTGTGGTTTTTCACCCAGTAGATAAGGGAGTTTATCAAAATTGGGTTTGTTTTCGAATTCTTTGTGGATCGCTGTAATCTGAGGGAAATATGTGTCTCTAATATGGTCATACATTTGGCAGGAGGTTAGGAAGTGCAGCTCAGTTTCCACCTCATTTTGTGGGCAGTGTGCACATAGCCTGTCTTCTCTTGAGAGCCAGGTCTGACTACGGCGGCCTTTCTCAATAGCAAGGCTATGCTCACTGAGTCTGTACATAGTCAAAGCTTTCCTTAAATTTGGGTCAGTCACAGTGGTCAAGTATTCTGCCACTGTGTACTCTCTGTTTAGGGCCAAATAGCATTCTAGTTTGCTCTGTTTTTTTGTTTGTTCTTTCCAATGTGTCAAGTAATTCTCTTTTTGTTTCTCATGATTTGGTTGGGTCTAGTTGTGTTGTTGTTGTTGTTGTCCTGGGGCTGTGTGGGGTCTGTTTGTGTTTGTGAACAGAGCCCCAGGACAAGCTTACTTAGGGGACTCTTCTCCAAGTTCATCTCTCTGTAGGTGATGGCTTTGTTATGGAAGGTTTGGGAATCGCTTCCTTTTAAGTGGTTATAGAATTTAACGGCTCTTTTCTGGATTTTGATAATTAGTGGGTATTGGCCTAATTCTGCTCTGCATGCATTATTTGGTGTTTTACGTTGTACACGGAGGATGTTTTTGCAGAATTCTGCATGCAGAGTCTCAATTTGGTGTTTGTCCCATTTTGTGAATTCTTGGTTGGTGAGCGGACCCCAGACCTCAGAACCATAAAGGGCAATGGGTTCTATAACTGATTCAAGTATTTTTAGCCAGATCCTAATTGGTATGTCAAATTTTATGTTCCTTTTGATGGCATAGAAGGCCCTTCTTGCCTTGTCTCTCAGATCGTTCACAGCTTTGTGGAAGTTACCTGTGGCGCTGATGTTTAGGCCGAGGTATGTATAGTTTTTTGTGTGCTCTAGGGCAACGGTTTCTAGATGGAATTTGTATTTGTGGTCCTGGCAACTGGACCTTTTTTGGAACACCATTATTTTTGTCTTACTGAGATTTACTGTCAGGGCCCAGGTCTGACAGAATCTGTGCAGAAGATCTAGGTGCTGCTGTAGGCCCTCCTTGGTTGGTGACAGAAGCACCAGATCGTCAGCAAACAGAAGACATTTGACTTCAGATTCTAGTAGGGTGAGGCCGGGTGCTGCAGACTGTTCTAGTGCCCTCGCCAATTCGTTGATATATATGTTGAAGAGGGTGGGGCTTAAACTGCATCCCTGTCTCACCCCACGGCCCTGTGGAAAGAAATGTGTGTGTTTTTTGCCAATTTTAACCGCACACTTGTTGTTTGTGTACATGGATTTTATAATGTCGTATGTTTTTCCCCCAACCCCACTTTCCATCAATTTGTATAGCAGACCCTCATGCCAAATTGAGTCAAAAGCTTTTTTGAAATCAACAAAGCATGAGAAGACTTTGCCTTTGTTTTGGTTTGTTTGTTTGTCAATTAGGGTGTGCAGGGTGAATACGTGGTCTGTCGTACGGTAATTTGGTAAAAAGCCAATTTGACATTTGCTCAGTACATTGTTTTCACTGAGGAAATGAACTAGTCTGCTGTTAATTATAATGCAGAGGATTTTCCCAAGGTTGCTGTTGACGCATATCCCACGGTAGTTATTGGGGTCAAATTTGTCTCCACTTTTGTGGATTGGGGTGATCAGTCCTTGGTTCCAGATGTTGGGGAAGATGCCAGAGCTAAGGATGATGTTAAAGAGTTTAAGTATAGCTAATTGAAATTTGTGGTCTGTATATTTTATCATTTCATTGAGGATACCATCAACACCACAGGACTTTTTGGGTTGGAGGGTTTGTATTTTGTCCTGTAGTTCATTCAATGTAATTGGAGAATCCAGTGGGTTCTGGTAGTCTTTAATAGTTGATTCTAAGATTTGCATTTGATCATGTATATTTTTTTGCTGTTTGTTCTCTGTTATAGGGCCAAAAAGATTGGAGAAGTGGTTTACCCATACATCTCCGTTTTGGATAGATAGCTCTTCGTGTTGTTGTTTGTTTAGTGTTTTCCAATTTTCCCAGAAGTGGTTAGAGTCTATGGATTCTTCAATTACATTGAGCTGATTTCTGACATGCTGTTCCTTCTTTTTCCGTAGTGTATTTCTGTATTGTTTTAGTGATTCACCATAGTGAAGGCGTAGGCTCAGGTTTTCTGGGTCTCTATGTTTTTGGTTGGATAGGTTTCTCAATTTCTTTCTTAGGTTTTTGCATTCTTCATCAAACCATTTATCACTGTTATTACTTTTCTTTGGTTTTCTGTTAGAGATTTTTAGATTTGATAGGGAAGCTGAGAGGTCAAATATACTGTTTAGGTTTTCTACTGCCAAGTTTACACCTTCACTATTACAGTGGAACGTTTTGTCCAGGAAGTTGTCTAGAATGGATTGAATTTGTTGTTTCCTAATTGTTTTTTTGGTAGGTTTCAACACTACTTTCCTTCCATCTATAGCATTTCTTAATATTATTCAGTTCTTTTGGCTTTGATGCCTCATGATTGAGTATTGCTCTGTTCAAGTAGACTGTGATTTTGCTGTGGTCTGATAGGGGTGTCAGTGGGCTGACTGATCTCTGTCTTGTTTGAACTACTTTAACACCTTGGGTCAATGAGTGAGGAACAGATGCCCTATACTTGACTGTCAGCCACAGTTTGCTCTCTGTGAGATAAAGACAAAGGATCTGGAGCACTTGCTGATAAGTGAGACCACTGTTATACTGACTTGACTGATTCAGGTCTGTGGGCAGGCAGAGTTCACTACCAGGTCTGTAACTGAGATCACTAGGGGTTTATGGTCACTGCCTGCCTGTGGGATCCAGTGAAATGGTAGTTATTGGCACACTCCATTTTCTTTAAAGGCAGTGTAGCACCTATTTCTCAATGCCAGAAACGTATATAATAGTAACCTAGAGCACCCCAAGAAAACATTCCCAAATTACAAACTTAAATCAATTGTTATAATGTTGTTCTAAATGTTGGGTTTGAGGTTTTCTCCAACTCATCTCTAACTTGGTAAAAATAATCCCACAATGCCCTGTGGTCAGCGTCACATGGTGAATTGAAAACATATACAAAGTAGGATACGTTTTAAAATTAGGTGGGCTAATTGGGCGTCTACTCGTCAGTCTGCGGGGGCACATTTCATCCCATTGTTGACTTCCAGGGCTATCAACAATGGAAGGATGACTTCAACAAGAAGTTGCTTCTCAAAGTGGATGCTGTCCCTACCATTAATGTGGCTTCTAAAGCATCTCAAACAGCCGTGAGCATTATCACTGGCATAGAAGTGAACTGGGTAAATGAAAGCGCTAGCTATGCCAGGGATGGGCAACTTTGATGGGGGTGGTGCCACAATTAAATAATCATAAGGGGCCGCAGGGGCTCGCACACACTGCAAGCAAAACATTTTAGTTTTAGCAATTTTGTAAGTAATTTCATGCAATTCTACTCATTTTGCCATGGGGTGGAGAGGAATGTTTCCCGTTTTTAATATGATATCTGAGTGTGACTGACTAAGAAAATCAATGGGGGCCCCCCAGCCAGTAATTTCACCATGACTAAGAAAATCAATGGGGGCCCCCCAGCCAGTACTTTCACCATGATAACAAGTTTAGATTACTGGCCGCAAAACGAATGTAACAATCCCACATTGTTTTTGCTGGACTATCAGTGACTGACATAACAAGAGAAACTGCTGATGCACAACCAAACTTCGAAATTGCACCTTGTATTCTACTATTGTAACTCACAACAGTACCCCGACTGAATTGATCCGAAGGCCTGCGTCCCGCGGACCGCCAATTGCCCATCCCTGCTCTATGCTAATGTTAGCTAGCTATACCTTTAGCTCATGTCTTCCATCCAAATAACACTGATAAAACGAACAAAATGTTAACATGTCTGCCAGCTGTTGGTAGCTAACTGCTGATGTTGTCATAGATGGTACAATCCTGTGGGAAAGTGTGCTTTTCATGCTGTTTGTGGGGGCTGCAATTTGGTTGTTCTGTGGCTCTGGCTTTGGTCATGGATCCGATCGGGTGGCGTTGCTTTCTTTTGGAGGGGTGGATTGTGGATTTTTAGTTTATTTAAAGTTTATTTTGGGATCTTAGGATCAATGTGGTCACAGTTGCTTCTTGTTGAAGTGGCAGCAGCTAACGTTAGCTTGCTATAGCTAGCTATCCTCTTCCTCCATTTCTGAATGAATTTGTGGCTATTTCTTTCTAGCTGGCAAAATAAGTGAGCTAGATTTTGTGGACTGCCACATGTCGATAACATAGCTAGGTTTGTCACTGGTATGAGCTAGTTAATGTCCTATGGGAGCCACAGTACCTGCCTCCTGTTATGTTGGAGAGTTATGTTATGTTATGTGAGGAGAGTTGTAGCTAATACACCCTAGCAGTTTATAAAGAATTGAGCTAGTCTCGTTCTTTCCACATAACAATATTCTCTCTTGAACGGAGTTCATCGAGTTTCCCAGCCGTAGCCTGCCTAGGCTATATGCCTGTTCTTGAAATCAACAAAGGAAGGCATAAAGTTATTGTTTTCAAATATGTATTATTGGCACTGGCAGCTAAACGTATAAACACTAAATATACAATTGTTTACTATACTTGTCACAATTCCAGATGTAACATGCACAAACTGGCAATTTATCAGCTCACTTTATCAGCATTGCTTCGCGTAAACGCAAGAAAAATAGACTTGCTTTTTACTTTGAAGTGCTTGATGGCGTTGACACTCGCGGGCTGTCTGTTTTCTCTCATTTACTACCGCGCATTCTAATTCCAGCGTGTTCACGCTTGTTCACTTGCGTAATTGGGCATTTAGCAAGCGCTCTTATCCAGAGCGATTTACAGGAGCAATTAGGTTAAGTGCCTTGCTCAAGGGCACATCGACATATTATTTTTTTCCAACTACTCACCTCGGGGATTTGAACCAGCGATCTTTCGGTTACTGACCCAACGCTCTTAACCGCGTTGGTACCTGCCACCCTACACACACTCAAATACGTTTTTCCACATGTAATTTATAAAATTAGATTTTTTATTGTATAAAGACTGTAGTTGTCTATGTTGTCAATATTTCAGAAAAATCCTCACATTTTCTATACTAAAAAGTGAAGTGCTACTTAGTGCGCACCAGCTTACCATGTACAGTAGGCTACAGGCAATATGTTCCTCCACTGTGAGTCATAGAAATTACGATCTTGCTTTCACTGCTTTCCGGCAGTCGTCGTGGTTTTTATATGTGGGGAGCATAAATTGTATAATTGTAAACTAACTAATAATTTTGAGTTAGAGCCCTCGGAAACTATTCAGACCCCTTGACTTTTTCCACATTTTGTTACGTTACAGCCTTATTCTTAAATGGATTAAATAAATAAAAATTCTCAGGAATCTACACACAATACCCCATAATGACAAAGTTTGAAAACATTTTTTCACATTTATTAAAAATAAAAAACAGAAACCTTATTTACAAAAGTATTCAGACCCTTTGCTATGAGACTCGAAATTGAGCTCAGATGCATCCTGTTTCCATTGATCATCCTTGAGATGTTTCTACAACTTGATTGGAGTCCACCTGTGGTAAATTCAATTGATTGGACATGATTTGGAAAGGCTCACACCTATTTATATAAGGTCCCACAGTTGACAGTGCATGTCAGAGCAAAAACCAAGCCATGAGTTCGAAGGAATTATCCGTAGCGGTCAGAGACAGGATTGTGTCGAGGCACAGAGCTGGGGAAGGGTACCAAAAAATGTCTGTAGGATTGAAGGTCCCCAAGAACACAGTGGCCTCCATTCTTTAATGGAAGAAGTTTGGAACCACCAAGACTCTTCCTAGAGCTATCGGGGGAGAAGGGCCTTGGTCAGGGAGGTGACCAAGAACCCGATGGTCACTCTGACAGAGCTATAGAGTTCCTCTGTGGAGATGGGAGAACCTTCCAGAAGGACAACTATCTCTGCAGCACTCTACCAATCAGGCCTTTATGATAAAGTGGCCAGACGGAAGCCACTCCTCAGTAAAAGGCACATGACAGCCCGCTTGGAGTTTGCCAAAAGTCACCTAAAGATTCTCTGGTCTGATGAAACCAAGCTTGAACTTTTTGGCCTGAATGCCAAGCGTCACGCCTGGAGGAATTCTGGCACTATCCCTACCGTAAAGCATAGTGGTGGCAGCATCATGCTGTGGGGATGTTTTTCAGCGGCAGGGACTGGGAGACTAGTCAGGATCAAGGCAAAGATGAATGGAGCAAAGTACAGAGAGATCCTTGATGAAAACCTGCTCCAGAGTGCTCAGGACCTCAGACTGGGGCAAAGGTTCACCTTCCAACAGGACAATGACCCTAAGCACACAGCCAAGACGTCACAGGAGTGGCTTCGGGACAAGTCTCTGAATGTCCTTGAGTGGCCCAGCCAGAGCCCAGACATGAACCCGATCGAATATCTCTGGAGAGACCTGAAAATAGCTGTGCAGCAACGCTCCCCATCTAACCTGACAGAGCTTGAGAGGATCTGCAGAGAAGAATGGGAGAAACTCCCCAAATACAGGTGTGACAAGCTTGTAGCATCATACCCAAGAAGACTCGATGCTGTAATCGCTGCCAAAGGTGCTTCAACAAAGTACTGAGTAAAGGGTCTGGATACTTATGTAAATATGATATTTCAGTTATTTTTTATAAATTAGTAAAGATTTCTAAAAACCTGTTTTTGCTTTGTCATTATGGTGTATTGTGTGTAGATTGAGGGGGGGAAACAATGTAATCCATTTTATAATAAGGCTGTAATGTAACAAAATGTGGAAAAAGTCAAGGGGTCTGAATACTTTCTGATGAATATCAGATAACGTCCATTATCTGCTACCTGGCCTTTAACATATGCGGTAAATCCATATTTATTAAGATGATGGCCTGTGCTGTGCTCTGTCTGGTTGGGGTTTGAGCTCTCTGGCCTCATCCTCGGGGACAGATAAAAAGACATGGAGCGCAGCAGCGGGGAGGAAATTGCCCTGACAGTCATTATTTTTCCAAAGAAATGCGGTGTAGCTTGACTACGGATGGACCTGATGTCACACGCGTGTGGGTGGATGTGATATGAGAGAGAGACACGGAGAAGGTTTTTATTTGTTTCACTTACTGAACCTATTGTGTATGATTTCACAGACCAGTGGTGTATTGCTGCCGGTGGATATGATTCTATGATATGGCACTCCCCTCCCTATGCCTGTGTGCCCTGTAATAGTACTCTATGGTGTGTGACTGGGGAATGGAGGCTAGCCTATCACATGAATTGAGGCCTCAGCTCAGACCCATTTATCTGCAGCCTGTGACTCAGACTGGAACGTTTCAAGGATAATTGAAAATTGAAAAACAGGCCAGAGATGAGGGGGAGACTGAAATCCCTTGTGCCCCTGTCACACCACCACAGCTGAGTTTTTGAAGGTCATCTTTTGTAAAAACGCTTACTTTGTATGCGTCTGCCCATGAATGCTCACTTAGAAAATGACCCTGATTTCCCAAGCTGCTTCTGTGCTAGATGACACCCGTTTTTTGCTCTCGATTTTTGTCCTCTTTCACACCTGAAATACTACACCTAATGGGACCATTGAAGCTACTGTTCTGCACAGTTTCTCTACCCCCCCCCCCCCCCCACACACACACACACACACACCAAGAAAGTACAATGTTCTTGGACAGATCAAGTGGTATTAGGCCCTATGATTGAGACAGTCATGTGTTTAGCTCCCCCATCCCAGTAGCACCAGTGACTTAACCGTCCTCTCATTCATTGTGAAGTGTGATCATCCAAACATGTGACTTGCTGTGTCTGACTCTGAGACAGCTGCCTCACATTCCAGTGTATCAGTCTTTAAACTGCCCCTAGCTTCCTCAAATGGTCACTGACCTCTCTGCTCGGTCTGGCCAAAGGACAACAGCTACAATATGACCACTGTTGTAACAGGAGAGGAACAGTGCCACTTTAGTGTGTGGGGTAATTTTTTGAATTCCTCTTTAATGACACATCCTGTATCCCATGCCCGCGCTAAGCATGTGTGAATTTGGCATGGTTTTCCTTCTCGTGTTTTGTGGATGTTTTTTAAGAGAGCATGTTTTGTATGATTTTCTATGATGTTGTGCGGACTTGAAAAGAGAGGAAGTGAATTCCTCCCCAAATTTAATGTAATTTTCTCCGCACAGTCAATGTAATTCCTTCCTTCCCTGGCTCTTCTTCCCTTCTGTTCCTTCTCACAAGGACTGGGGTTCTGGGAAGAATGAAAGCGAATCCCTGTATGATTACTGTTCCAGCATACTGTCCAGACCAGACCAGAGACACTCACTCGCCTGCAGCTACACAAAAAGGACATTACTGTTTCTCTCCACTGATGAGCAGACACAGAAAACCACATCTTATTATTTCATTATCCCTTTTCTGGATGAAAAAGCCAGAATTCCTAATACGTTTCGGACCATACATTTCAGGGAAAGAGAGTGGGAAGACCATTAAGACATGTCAGGACACGGTGGAAATTTGTTGTAAATTGAGCTGTTGCATAACATGTCTCCCACCCAGATGAGAGGGAGGGAGAGAGACTGTCATCATCCATCTCTTCTCTCACCGAGTGAAATCAGGCTAGTGCTACCCCCCCTCTCAGCTAGCGGTTGCTAGGTGACAGCCAGCCCTAGCCTATTGCTGACGTGGCTCTAGGCATCGCCACATCAAGCCAGTGGTCTGTGACTGGACACACACACAGAGATGAGGAGGTAGTGTGTATTAGCACTGCTAATCCTGTCTCATCTCACATGGCGGCTCTCTTATCGCTGACAACAGGAAGTATAACATGGAGCCCTGCAAAGGGCTCTTAAGCCCATCTGGCCCCCATCTGACCCCAACTCTATCATTCTCAAAGTAGGTTGCTAATGTAAAAGTGAATCCATATCATGATTTTGTGTTGAAGATTTGAAGTTGATTAAAAACCCTTTGTGGGATTTGTTGAACGTGTGGTTCTGAAATGTTCTCTGCTAGCTGGTTGAATCCAAATGTAGTCTATTTTACTGAGAAAATCTCCTCGGCGTGTCCAATGATGAAAACTCAAAACAGAGAGGGAGTGCAATTTTTAAAGGCCTTGTTTCTACTCTGCCATTTTAGATTAGTCTTTGTGCAGGACCAAATCAAAATGACTCTCCCCAGGCTGGCCCATGTCTTTCCAGGCTTGATCAAACTTCCACTTCAAAGCCTCTCCTCGTGGGTCTTAGCTGTTGTGTAATTGCTTACAGCTGCTCCTTCCTTCCCAGTGTGTTCTCTTCCTCTTTCCATCTCTTTGCCCCTCTCTCCCACCACACCCACACTCTCCTTACGGACAGTCGATGAGCACAGCTGTTGGAGCAGTGATGTGTTCTTCTTAGCACATCTGGCTCAGGAGGCTTCCGCCATCGCTTGTTTTTCTGTATTGGTTATTTGACACTAAATGCAAAATTGCCTTCCTCTACATACAAACGCTCACCCAAATGCTTAGCCGGAGACACTTCATCTAGGCTTGAACACATGTGGCCTGGCGCCTCAGAGAAATGTATAATATGTTCTCTTGTGTTATGATAATAAATAATGTATTTCCTTTAGTCTTTTAATCAGACGAGTCCTGTTCTCTCTGTTCTCTCTCCACAGATGCCTCCTGGCAGTTAGCGTTCAATGTCAAGTTCTACCCTCCTGATCCATCCCAGCTGACCGAGGATATTACCAGGTACTGTACTGTCTCTTTCATCAGGAAACAGAGGTCAAACAGCCACACACCACATCTGTTCCCCCAGTGTCTCATCACACTCTGCTCTGAGCCCTCACCTGGATCACTCCCGTGCACTCCCTAATCTAGCGTAGAAATGCCCTCTTTGATCTGCGCCCGTCAAAAGGTTGCAGCAGTATCGAATGCAGTGGACCTGTCTTCAGCCTCCAGAGTTTAGTTTCAGCACAGCCCCAGATCCAAGGTCACAGGCAGTCGAGGGCAATCATCTGCACACACACCTACCTTTTTTCTCTCCCAGTGTGCCGTTACCACACACACGTTATTTCTGCTGTTGTGAGTGCAGGCTGCTGCCGTACTGTAAGGCACAGGAAAACGCCCCCACACACACCCCACTCACAACCCACAGTGTTCCTGTGCATGTTATGTCAGATCTGAAGTAGTGGGTTAGTGTCAAGAGAAACGTACAGACCAAATGTACAAAATCTATTTCATGCCTCAATGAAATGTCATGCCTCGTCTGGTCCCGTGTAGTTCAGTTGGTAGAGCATGGCACTTGCAACACCAGGGTTGTGGGTTCGATTCCCACGGGGGACCAGTACGAAAATGTATGCACTCACTAACTGTAAGTCGCTCTGGATAAGATTGTCTGCTAAATGACTTAAATGTAAATGTGGTTATAGACTGTAAATCTGTCTTTCTCTCCCTCCCCCACCCCTTTCTCCCATCTCTCTCTTTTCTTTCTTTATTTCTCTCTCTCTCTTTTTTTCTATCTTTTCTAACTTTTCTATCTTTCTTTCTATCTTTCTTTCTTTCTCCCTGTAGATATCTCCTGTGCCTTCAGCTCCGGCAGGACATAGCTTCGGGGCGTCTGCCCTGCTCCTTCGTCACCCACTCTCTGCTGGGTTCCTACTCCCTGCAGGCCGAGCTGGGAGACCACGACCCCGATGAGCAACGCCTCGACTACATCAGCGACTTACAGTTTGCCCCCTCACAGACCAAAGAGATGGAGGAGAAGGTTGTCGAGCTCCACAAAACTCACAGGTCAGGGCTTTGTGGTGTTAAAGGGATAGTTCAGCGATAACTATCCCTTTAATGCAAGCAAGAGGAAGTGACACTGACATTGAAGTCATAGCTGAAGGGGCCTCTTTAAACCCACCCGGCTGTGGGGACTGGGGAAAGACACCTGTATAGAAATTAGATTGGAAATGACCCCTGGCCTTACTAAACCCTGTGATTATCATATTTTGAATTCCCTGTTTTCAGCACCTGCCATTTATCTATTTATTTATTATTGACTTTAACTTTTCACCGCTGTGTTTGTTTATATGGGATTGTTCTATGTTTTGTCTACCATTCTAGGGGGATGACTCCTGCTCAAGCAGACACCCAGTTCTTAGAAAACGCCAAGAAGTTGTCGATGTATGGCGTCGATCTCCACCATGCCAAGGTGACTGACACACGGCACCGGGTTTTGAAATGTCCAAGCAGAAATTTTAAAGAAATCATTCCTGTATACATTTTTGGGGAAATACTAGGAAATACATTTGTGATGTTTATAAAATGCCCTGCGATGAGAAAATGTCAACCTCATAACCGTAAAAAATATGATTGAACTGTAAGCTCTTAACAAGGAGGCATAGCCTACTGGTCAGTATCCAAACTTAGTCATTAGTCGAGGAACTGTTCTACTACGCTCCATTATTTGTGTATGGAAAGTCTGTTGAAACGCCTTTGAGAGCACACAAGACTCATGGAGGCTCCTTTGATGTGGTGCGCAGTGAGTGGAAGAAAGAGGCAGGCGGAAAACACAAAGCTAAAGCAGAGAGCGGGCCGATCACCGCATCAGCTGTACAAACACATTTGGTGGAGCCGGAGCTCTTTTCACTGGGCCATCGGCATGGGAACAGCCCTGTGGAATGAAACCTTCTCTCTCCCGGTGGACTGGACATGGGTTGAAAATACTCCCAGAAATGTTCTGCTGGTCAGAGAGAGAGAGAGAGAGAGAGAGAGAGAGGGAAGGGGGGGGGGGGAGCGAGAGAGAGAAGGGAGGGGGGAGATAAGAGAATGGGGGAGAGCTCTTAGTTCATATCCCAACCATCAGTAATCAGTGAGAAAGGTGCATTTCAGGCCCTCATGTCCTCTCTCTCTTTCGGTAGGTAGGCAGACAGGCAGGGAGGGAAAAAGGTTGTGTGGAAAAGCATGTCAAGGCCATGGGGAGTGAGAGGGGTGCGGTGGTTAAAAGCCATGCATTGGTGTCTAATAGTCACCATTCCCATCAGTGGCGATGGATTTTCCTCCTCGTTTTACAGTTGAAACACAAATCAATAGTCCCTCAGTATCGAACTATCCATACGTCCTGGACTTAAAAGGCCCTTTATGGCGTCATGCAAGTTCGATAACAACTTTAGCATTGAGTTATGGTGGGATGATTGAATATCCGTCCTTATTCAATTGTATGTAATATGTAATCTAATTCCATTGTGAGCTTTGGCGATATTAAAAATCTTCTGAACTGAAATCTGAGAATGTTGTCTGTTCTCTATCCATGTTGTCTGTACTGCTGCATACGTGACTGTGTTTTCTGTTCATTGTACTTTGCTGAACTGTTGCTTTGGCTGTTGTCTTCGTGTCTGCAGGACTCTGAGGGAGTGGACATCATGTTGGGAGTGTGTGCCAATGGCCTGCTGATCTACAAAGACCGACTCCGGATAAACCGCTTTGCCTGGCCCAAAATCCTCAAGATCTCCTATAAACGCAGCAACTTCTATATCAAAATCAGGCCGGGAGAGGTATGGAACAGCACCGCTCTCAGAGGAAAAACAAGACATTTCTACATTTTACTGTTGTCCTTTCGAAAACCCTCTCCAGAGATCAGCCGTAGGAAAGAGACTCCATCATTGAGCAAAATACTGACAATGTTAGGAGATGGTTTGATTGTGGAGATGAAAATGCTGACATTTAGGTATTTCTTTCTCAAGGCCCAATTCAAACTAGTTTTGTGGAAGGAGAGGTGGTTTTATGGGGTTTGGCCCATATCTCGTCTTTTGTGGAGCATATGTTTTCTAACTTGGCTAGTTCTAGTACTCAGGGGAACTCAGCTCTATACTCTGATGTCTTCCAGACGGAGCTGTTTGAGAGCACCGTGGGCTTCAAGCTGCCCAACCACCGCTCTGCCAAGAGGGTCTGGAAGGTCTGCGTGGAGAATCACACCTTCTTCAGGTAACGATCACACTCAGCTCCCATGTCAACGACCCCTACATCGGTTTAACCTAATCCTGTTCACCTCGAACGCACTGTCTGAACCAGGAAGAACTCGTGTGTTAGGGTCCTCTGAAGTCTGTTGTTTTTGAAAGATTGCACCTTTCATTAAAGTGTTCTGTTCCACATTGCAACTTTATCTATAGGCCCTGTCTAACCTGTTGACTCCGTGAAATGTGTCTATGCTAACACAGACAGTCCAAGCCCATGTCAGTGGACAGCGTTAAATGGTTTCCCCCTCCCACACTGTGAAGTGTGTACCAACTGGAGTGTGTAATTGGACGGTCTCTAGGGAGCAGTAGGTTCCTTCGATACTTCCTGTCCAATGAAAAGACAGAGGGGAGAATGAGCACAGTTGAGTGGAACAGCCGTTATGCACTTTGTTCAGGCAGCTTCTCCGTCCGAAGCCTAAAGCCATGGCAGTTATCATGCGCTTAAACTGTCTCCTTAGCTTCCACTCTGCAGGGCTGTATCATTAAGGAAGCAATTGTCCCCAGTTTTAGCCTCAGCCAGCACCATCTTCAGATGAACCTTTTCGTCGGTAGCCCTGCCACCTGGTAAATAATATACGCTCGCTGGATGATTATCTTTAAGTCTAATATTGCGGGTAATGGAGTCGCCAATGACTAAGGTTTTCAATTTGTCCGAGATAATGGTGGGAGGCTTCAGCGGCTCAGACCCCATAACGGGTGGAGGAGAGAGCTGAGAGTGCTTGGACTCTGACTCCGACTCGTTGCTTAGTGGCGAAAACCGGTTAAAAGTTTCTATCAGATGAATGATCGACACCGGTTGAGCATGCAAACAGTATTTCTTTCCTGAAGCCATGAGAAAATGTTCAGCTGTGGGGACTGTGCAGGGTGATTAACACTACCTGTATTTACTGGTGGCACGGACGCTGTATCATCCTTTCCTACACTTAAATTGCCCTTGCCTAACGATTGCATCTCAAGCCCGGCTTGCAACTCAGCTATCCTCACCATAAGGCGATAGTTCTCCTGTATATTAAGAGTACAGCGACTGCAATGAGAAGGCATCATGTTAATTCGTTTTGTTTTCGGCTGGAGGAGGTCCTGCAGATCTATGACCAGATAAAGCGTCCGGGGTGAAAAAGTACAGCAAAATGGAGACAATGCGGAAGTGCGTTGCGTCACCAGTCATGTAATAAATCCCACCTGCTGCGCCTCGCATTATTTGACAGTTCGTAAGAGGGGTGTCGGCACGCGCCAAATTGAAACCAGATATGGCATGAAGATCCTCGGCTGTTTGATCGAGCTGTTTTGTTCTTGGCACGGACAACGAGGAGGGGAGAGACAAGCCTCAACAAACACAAAGCAAAAATGACGCACTGGCTTGCCTTCAACCCAACCACTAATATCTAAAAGCCCTGTAGCACCCCTCTCTTCCTGCTCTTCTCTCCTGTCATTCAGATCCTCTGTGTACTAAAGCAACTCCTAGTAATGACTCTCCTTATACTGTCAAGTTTGAATTACAAACCCTGCCATCCACTTTAATGGTCTTGTACACTGATATAAATCGCCCCGCTTATTAGCGATTTGGGCCAAAGAGCGGCTTTTCTTGAACTGTGTTGTGAGGTCATGATGTCATGACAGGCCCTGGCTGGGCTGGAACGGAGAAGTCGTGCCGGGCTGTTGAGATCATGATGGGATCCACAGACACCCTGACACCCCAGCAGCACGCCCAGGGCCAGCGTGTTTAAATTGGGTTGAAATCAGCCCTGGCCTACATGCCCCTGGGTTAAACAACAGAACAGACCCCGTCCTACTGTGCCTTATTTGTGGAGACAACCCTAGTATGGCTTAACCTGACACCACTAGAAAGATGGACTTAAGTGCCCCCCCCGGCCCCTCAGGCTGGGCAAAGACCTGTTAGGTTAGTGTGTGTGAGAGAGAGAAAAAATGTCTGAGTGAGGGGCCCTGCAAAGCGAATGGGGGGGTGGAGATGGGCGGACAGGAAAGCCCTGTCGCCATTGGGAGATTAAGGATAGGGGCAGGGAGGATTTCGACCACCGCTCCCCCACCACCCTTGTCTCCCAATAATATCTAGTCCCAAACACAGCTGTTACAAAGAGCAGAGCCAGCGAAGGAGAATAGGAGATAGCTTACTCTTCGACGCCCAGACTTTGACTGGTTTCACAGCTCATGTTCACTTACGGTCACTGACAAACAATGAGACTGTTGAATGGATCCCTTTTACCTGGGTCTTCATGAGTCATCCATAATCTCTCTATTTACACACAGAGATAGCTAGGTTTATCACTTCCGTCTCAGCGGTTAGCCTAGGTCACAGGCAGGACATTTTCATTTTTTTTCTCGTGAGAATAGATAGTACTCTTTATCTATATACTCTCACTGTCATCCAGTAAACTGAAATAACATATCCACATGGATTTTACACACTGTATATGATACGGTATTTGTTTTGTTTTCAGAATAGTTTTATCTTATTTTGGTCATGTTCTCGCTCCAGGTTGATGACTCCAGAAGCGCCCACTAAAGCCAAGTTCCTCACGCTGGGCTCCAAGTTCCGCTATAGTGGGCGCACACAGGCCCAGACACGACAAGCCAGCACCCTCATCGACAGGCCGGCACCCTACTTCGAGCGCACTTCCAGCAAGCGCATCTCACGAAGCCTGGATGGAGGTAGGCAGTGGCACTAGACGACACACACACACAGTTGGGATTTGGGTTGACGTATTCTTATGCACAGTGCCCACTACCTTGAACTATGGGCAGCGCTGGTATTCTGGTAATGAGTGTGAGTCGGTCCATAGCTAAGTCTGCAGGCGAGGAGATGAGTGTCTCAAGCAGCCGGTCTCTTTGTGACCATGAGAGTTCTCATTCAGTCAGCTCAGTGCAGACACAGTAGGGGGGCCGTCACAGAACCACAGGCTACCTCAGCCCTGCCATCAAAGAGACATTTAGATGAACTGCTGGGGAGACACTCCAAAACGGAGAGAGAGAGAAGTAGAGAAAGTAACAATGGACCCGCAGGATCAGAGGAAAACCATTACCGTGAGATGTACAGAAATAGCCCTGTTCAGATGTTCCGTGTGACAGCAATCATCAACATGCCTCAGCATGCATCCTGTTCCCATGCCAACCATTAAAATTTAGAGGGAACGCACCACTATCCTCCTGGTTTTACAGTCAGCTCAAACTGTCTTGTGAGCTGAACTATGCTGGTGTTATATACCATGTAGGCTAGTGGTTTTGCATTTAGTCAAACATGTTGCAATGACTGGGGATGATCATTCCTATAGCCTACTATTTGTCTCTCTTCCAAGTGTTTTTAGAATAACCATTTTGCAGTGTCCTGTACAATGTCAGCCAGTGTTTAGCTGTAGGCATGACATATTCCTTCACTATCATTGCTATTGGCTATATACAGGAAATGGCTCCAACATCTGTTTCCCTTTGTTGGAACTTTGGGAAGGACTGTGGATGAAACTGGACTCATTCTTGACCAGGGGATTTTAATGTGTTTCTTTGACTGGACCCGGGCTGTATACATTACATTGCACATTTAACATGGGAAAGAAACAGTGCCACTAAAGCATTAACAAGCATGAAGGATGTTGTCATTCCAAGGCTCACATAAGTTATTAGGCCTATTTCCCACCATAAAAGCATTCTAGAAATTGCTCTGAGCAAAACCTTTGCTTGATTTGGGGAATTAGACTAAAATACAGTAATACAGGACTGGCCGGCTGCTATGCAGATTGAATGCAGGTGACGCTGTAGCTGAAAGTGAAGTAGTAATTATATGGTGAAGCTTGAACATGTACAGTGCCTCGTCTGACAGAAAGATTAGTGTGTCATATTGACTGGTCAGTGTTTTGCGTCCAACTTCAGCAGCACTAATCTAGGAGGAGAATCCTAGAGGAACATGAATCACCAAAGGAATGCCGATAACTCGATACTCTACGTTTCCATGAATAGCCTACAATAACATTTAGCAAGACCAGGGCTTTCACCTTTATTCCCTCTCTGTCTAGCTTGTAAATCTAGGATAACTAAATCAACAGTCCCAAATACCCCATGTGCACTAGAGCCGGGCCATTCATTATTTAAGGGTTACTCTACTCACTCCAGCTGTGAGTTAACCTGGGCCTGCTCTGGAATATCCTTTCTTTGCTTCCTTCACTCCTCCTTTCCCCTCCTGTATGTAGGGCCTCTCTGTTGAGCCTCTTGATCATTTATCATCAGCCCAATTCACTGTGCTATTAATTCCCTCACGTTCCTCTTACTTACTTACTTACTTTATTGTCCCCATGGGGAAATTTTGTTGCAGTGTCATGTACACATTTAAAGTAGTACATTTAAAGTGTACATCCCTCTACTACAGATGTACACATCTGTAGTAGAGGGATAGATAAGAAAAGGGCGGGAGGGAACCATTTTGTTTTCCATCTGGCCAGCCGTGGAGACTTCTCTCTCTCTGCTCTGGCCCCTGACTAGGGCCCCCAGAGCTTCAGATACAGTCACAGCAGGTGTGGGACTGGGACTCTGAATGAGACAGGGCTAGCTGAAGAGAATTTGGTTCTGGTCTCTGGAGAAATCCCACTCTCCCCTCCCAACACATTGCACATCAATACAGGGAGTGGCGGCTGTGCTGTGGGTGGCACGGTCGGTTACTGACGATATCAGGTTATGTATCACACCACCATATCAAACCCTCACTACTAAACCCCAAAAATCCACGACTACACCGCACCGCTCAGTCTGGTCTGCTTGAATCAGTGTGTGTGTTGGCACTGCTAAATACACTACTGTACACTACTGTACACTACTGCTAGCATGACAATTGTAGTTTGAAAAATGGATGCACTCACTAACTGTAAGTCGCTCTGGATAAGAGCATCTGCTAAATGACTAAAATGTAAAATGTAGTTTTACCCCTTTCCATCTGAATAGCTATTGGACATAGGCATTTACTATACCAAAACAAATAGCCATGTCTGGTATGTACTATGAATCCATGCAATCTTGGTCTTATCTCATCCACAAAAGGCGTGGTAAGAAATCGTTCATATGGACCTGATTAAACTGTGCTCTGGGGTTAGAGCACCTTCTGCTGGCCAGGCGTTGACATTAGCATGGTGTGCTGATTTGAAGAGCTCTCTGAAGTATGCATAAATGAATGGAGAATATTAATATTATATAAAGCTTGAATATGTGTTGTCTTGTCTGTGCTCCTTCAGCTCCAGTGATTAACGTGATCGAGGCCCAGGACTCAGCCCCCACCTCTGTGGAGAACGGCAGGGAGCCTGGCCTGGAACTCTCCTCTGACTCCAAGGTAAGAGAGGAGGGAGGGGGATGATCTAACTCAATCTCTTCTCTTTCAAGGAAGAACCAGACATCCTGTTGGATTGGAAATGAATTGTCTATGTCTGTGACTGATGCCTAATGATTTTATCTTAAAGAAATGCCCCCAAGGTTTCACTACAGGAAACTCAATTAATTATGTCTACGGTCTATCTTAGAATTACGAGCTATAGGATGACATTCTGAACTGTCTCCTTCGTGCCGTGCTAACTCCTGTATAAAGGATCATAGTCATCCTTACTTAACAGTGACTTGGCCATAAAAGCCATGTAATTAGTTCATTATGTAACCTGTGGTACTGAGAGGAAAAGATTCAGAGGCTCATCTCTTCAGTGATAAAGGCTCAGCTCATTGGGGGCACTGTCTTAGTTGTACTAGGGCTAATGTACACCAAGAGGACCCCCTCTCCCCCTCCTACCATTGTGATATTAATCGAGACTCCACTAACTGCATTCTTGTCCGGGGGATGTTGTCCTGCCATGGTCATGGAATATTTATGGTTCTCTGGGGGTTTACCTGGAAGTTAATATTAAGGAGACAGAGCTGAAAGTAATAGAGTTTTGAATTCAAGTTGAATGAGAACAACCAGAGTATGACTGTGCTGTATCTCAATCTCTAACTCAATCGCAAAGACCTACCTGCTTTTGGGTCGCTTTAGTTTCTTCCTACTCCTGTTATCTACTCTGACTCTCTGCCTCTGTCCACTAGTGTTGTCAGTTCTGATCCTGTTGTTGTACAGATGTAGAATGTGCTTAACCCTCCTCCCCCAGCACCTCCTGGACCACCCCCTTACCTTTGACCCCTGACCTCTCACACTGCCCCCTCGTCTTCACCCGTGTCACTCTGCTGCACCCCTGACCTGACACGTCTCACTGACTAATGGTGTGTTTCTTTCTCCCCTCTCCTCTCTCTTCCTGCACACTCTTTCCTGTTAACGTTTATCATTTTTCACACATTTGTTTCTTCTCTCGGTTGTGATTATTGCTTGTGTTTTTCCCCCTCACCCTTTCCTTCCCTGCATGGTGTCTACATGTGGGGGGAAACGACGGGTCAATCACTGTGCAGTCAATCTTCATGTTCCCCCTGTCCTTCTCCTCCTCCTCAAACTCATCCCTCCCTCCCATCCTCGACACCATCTCTGAGCTGGACGTTCTGTCTGACATCTCGGAGGACGACCCCCTATCCTGGGGCCAGCTAGATGGGGATGGGGACTACCCGGGTATTTGGGTTCCTGATTTTACCCCCCAGCAGCATGCAGACAGCTTGGCTGCAGCAGAGCACTACCATCACCAGCCTCTAGAGGCCTCTCCTCCCCCCTCCCCCCTAACCTGTAGCTCAGAGCCCCAGGAAGGGTCACCCGTCCAGGCCAAGGATGCGGCTCAGTCCAGGCTGGGCTTCTCCCTGCTGGGGATGTTGACGGGCCTGCGCCTGGGCCTCCTGCCCTTCTCTCTGCTGGACGAGGACGGCTACCTCTGCTTCCCCAGCCTGCCCCAGGACTGTGCTGCCTGCTTGGTCCCCGCGGGGCTGCAGCACTACCTGCCCCTCTCCTCCCCCTCTGTGGTGCCCTCATTCATGTTCATCTTGGCTTTGCTGCTGTCTGCCTCCCAGTCCCTGGCTCTGGCCTTCCTCCTGGCCATGCCCCTGGCCCTGTCGATCTGCTACCTGGAGCCTAAGGCACCTGTCCCCGCTCATGCCCCCGTGGCCACGCCCTGCTTAGACACACACACCGACACCCACACTTTCCTGCTGCAGGAAGAGCTGTGTGACCAGCTGTGTGACCCCGCTGCCTAAATGTCACCCCCCCCCCCCCCCCCCCCCCCCCGGCTTCTGTCAGCTCCTCCCACCCCTCACTTCAGCCAGAGGTCTGTGTGTTCTGCCTCCCCTCCCTCCCCGTCAGCTCCTTCCACCCCTCACCTCGGCCAGAGGTCTGTGTGTTCTGCCTCCCTCCCTCCCCCTGTCAGCTCCTCCCTCCCCCTGTCAGCTCCTCCCTCCCCGTTACGTTTCACTCTCCCGTTTCCTTTCTTCTTAAAACCCTTGATTTTCTGTCTAAAATTACTAAATAGAATTTAAATTTTTCGCCATTCTTCAGAGATTTTAAATGAGTTCTTAAGACAATCATTGTTATTGTACCAGTATTGGCTGCTCTGTCATAAATCGTTTGTGTTAAATGAATACGAGCAAAATAATTTACACCTTTTTAGTGTTGTAAAATAATAATAATTAATCCTGTTTCCCCATCTGTTTGGCTGTACATGCCTTGTTCATATACAGGTAGATTTACAGTGTACAGTTGAAGTCGGAAGTTTACATACACTTAGGTTGGAGTCATTAAAACTAGTTTTTCAACCACTCCACAAATTACTTGTTAACAAACTATAGTTTTGGCAAGTCGGTTAGGACATCTACTTTGTGCATGACACAAGTAATTTTTCCAACAATTGTTTACAGACAGATTATTTCACTTATAATTCACTATATCACAATTCCAGTGGGTCAGAAGTTTACATACACTAAGTTGACTGTGCCTTTAAACAGCTTGGAAAATTCCAGAAAATGATGTCATGGCTTTAGAAGCTTCTGATAGGCTAATTGACATCATTTGAGTCAATTGGAGGTGTACCTGTGGATGTATTTCAAGGCCTACCTTCAAACTCAGTGCCTCTTTGCTTGACATCATGGGAAAATCAAAAGAAATCAGCCACACAGCCGTCATACCGCTCAGGACGGAGACGCGTTCTGTCTCCTAGAGATGAACGTACTTTGGTGCGAAAAGTGCAAATCAATCCCAGAACAACAGCAAAAGACCTTGTGAAGATGCTGGAGGAAACAGGTACAAAAGTATCTATATCCACAGTAAAACGAGTCCTATATCGACATAACCTGAAAGGCCGCTCAGCAAGGAAGAAGCCACTGCTCCAAAACCGCCATTAAAAAAGCCAGACTACGGTTTGCAACTGCACATGGGGACGAAGATCGTACTTTTTGGAGAAATGTCCTCTGGTCTGATGAAACAAAAATAGAACTGTTTGGCCATAAAGACAATCGTTATGTTTGGAGGAAAAAGGGGGATGCTTGCATGCCGAAGAACACCATCCCAACCGTGAAGCACGGGGGTGGCAGCATCATGCTGTGGGGGGTGCTTTGCCGCAGAAGGGACTGGTGCACTTCACAAAATAGATGGCATCATGAGGAAGGAAAATTATGTGGATATATTGACGCAACATCTCAAGACATCAATCAGGAAGTTAAAGCTTTGTCGCAAATGAGTCTTCCAAATGGACAATGACCCCAAGCATACTTCCAAAGTTGTGGCAAAATGGCTTAAGGACAACAAAGTCAAGGTTTTGGAGTGGCCATCACAAAGCCCTGACCTCAATCCTATATAAAATGTGTGGGCAGAACAGGGAGGCCTACAAACCTGACTCAGTTACTCCAGCTCTGTCAGGAGGAATGGGCCAAAATTCACCCAACTTTTGTGGGAAGCTTGTGGAAGGCTACCCGCAACGTTTGACCCAAGTTAAACAATTTAAAGGCAATGCTACCAAATACTAATTGAGTGTATGTAAACTTCTGACCCACTGGGAATGTGATTAAAGAAATAAAAGCTGAAATAAATCATTCTCTCTACTATTATTCTGACATTTCACATTCTTAAAATAAAGTGGTGATCCTAACTGACCTAAGACAGGGAATTTTTACTAGGATTAAATGTCAGGAATTGTGAAAAACTGAGTTTAAATGTATTTGGCTAAGGTGTATGTAAACTTCCGACTTCAACTGTATATATAGCTCTGTTATCAAGTTAGTTTTGCCCTATAAGGACGTTATTGCAGTGTTGCACCCCCTGTCCCTGTCCTGTTCACTGTTATTAGTCGCCATTTAATACACTACAGTTTCTGACATTTAATACACCACAGTTTCTGACATTTAATACACCACAGTTTCTGACATTTAATACACTACAGTTTCTGACATTTAATACACCACAGTTTCTGACATTTAATACACCACAGTTTCTGACATTTAATACACTACAGTTTCTGACATTTAATACACTACAGTTTCTGACATTTAATACACCACAGTTTCTGACATTTAGGCAACAATAAGAAACATAAATTAGGAAATGACAGATGACACAATGGTTGAATCAGCTCTACACAGAAAAATGACCAATATCCCGAGGCCAGCATGTGAACCCCCCCCCCATCCCATCATGCCTCACTCTCATGTGGGCAGAGCCTGGGCGCTCCTCCCTCAGTCACATGACATTGTACCGTTAGGTGGTGCTGCTTGGAATCAAGCTTTTCCATCATCCATTTCACCTTTTCTTTCTCCCCGACAAAAAAACATTCCCACTACAAAGACCACACAGGTAGAGGAGGAGCCTAGCGAAGGGGCGGCGGCCACACCTACTGAAGGCACTGAGGTCTGTGAGGGCAGTGGCCATCTTTACCATCATACTGCACCTTTAAGATTATTTGTAATACAGTATAAACATGGAGCTCTGGGCAGTGCAGGTGTCAAACTAACATGTCCTTTTCTCCTGGGCACTCACAGATGAAAAGAGATGAGCCAGACTCCTCCCAGCAGGTTGATTGATTGATTAACTGTGATTGGTTGTTTGATGGTGAATTTGTCTATAGATCATCTTGGTTTTTTCACATCCTCTCTGCTCTTTATTTTGTATGCTGGGTTTCACTTTTGCGGCAGGAATGTAGGCTTTGTTTTTGGTTTCTTTGTGCTGGTGCCACTGTGATGCTCTGTGACACGTGTATGGTTTTTTTCTCATGCTTACAAAAGGAGCACAACACACTGCTGTTCAACCACACGCCACCACAGCTGAACATGATGAGGATAGGACATTGTTCTGGATAGGCTTGCCTTAGCTGCAGCATTCTAAGGATGAACACCCAAATAAGCTCTACATTGTGAGGAGTAAATATTCTCTATCTCTACATATTAGTATTAGAGTTGATCACTACACAGCTAAGGTGACGTGTGGTTTGGAGAGGGTCCATTGTGGTCTGCTCTGACCAGTAGTGGACGTCCAGTGTAGTTGTGTCCCAGTCTCCACAGCCTCTGCTCTGTACTGGAACTGTCCCGACTGCACAGGTTCTCACCTCTGGCTGCTTGGGCATTTTATTTCATTTTTTTATGTATTTTTCACAAATGCGTCTTCATTTTTTGATTCCACAGAGCGGAAAGTTGAGAGTGCAGGGGGAAAATATATATGTCAGACATAGCAATTTAATGTTGGAGGTTGGTATGACTGTGATAACTATTGGCCCCTAACTAAAGGGAATCAAAGCCCATGCCTGTGACCTCTCTCTTGGCTCCTGTCCCAGACTGTCTACTCCAGTTTAGCTCTCACTCTCAGGCTCTGTGTGTAGCTCTGTGTGTAGCTCTGTGTGTGTGTGTGTGTGTGTGTGTGTGTTTGAACACCAATGCATGATTTTGCATGTTGGATGGGGTGCATGTCCGACCAAACAGGGTTTGGGGTTTATTGGGGCGAGGGTGACCGCTGATGAGCGCTTACCCTCTCCTGTTATTGATTTGAAAATTGTTTTGGATATTTAGTATTTTCCAGTGGTGTGTTTTTAACAGGACTAATGTTGTTTCCCTAACCCATATAGGGATTTTCCTGCTCTGGTTGGCTTGATTTGAGTTGTGAATTTGTAATGGTGTAATAACAAACTAAACCTACCCAGAGTGTTCTCTAATCTCACACATTAGAAACGTGGAACTGTCATTAGTGCCCTTTAAAATCGTGTGATTACCAGAATGGCTTTTTACAGTATTTAACCCCCTAGATTCGACGTCTGCGCCCCTGCGGAAATCTAATTAGCATAAAAATCCATCAGTTTAAGCTAGAGATGTTTTTTTGCATTGGATGTGTCTCAATCCACCTCATCCAGACCATGAGACATCACAAAGATCATATTGTTATGACCCCTCTGGATCATATTGTTATGACCCCTCTATGGATCATATTGTTATGACCCCTCTGGATCATATTGTTATGACCCCTCTGTGGATCATATTGTTATGACCCCTCTGTGGATCATATTGTTATGACCCCTCTATGGATCATATTGTTATGACCCCTCTATGGATCATATTGGTATGACCCCTCTGTGGATCATATTGGTATGACCCCTCTATGGATCATATTGTTATGACCCCTCTATGGATCATATTGTTATGACCCCTCTGTGGATCATATTGTTATGACCCCTCTATGGATCATATTGTTATGACCCCTCTGTGGATCATATTGTTATGACCCCTCTATGGATCATATTGTTATGACCCCTCTGGATCATATTGTTATGACCCCTCTGTGGAAAGATGAGAACACGATTTTGTCCTCCGTTTTGCTCTACGACCCCCACACGCGTCTTGGGACTCGTCTGAAGTCGGCACAGCCGATCTGCCAACTTCGGTCTGTTTGGGCTACAAACTTCCCCTCTGTGGAAAGGTGAGACTCTCACGAACACGTACATGTCGGTTGTTTTGCTCTAGGACGCCCACAGGCCTCACAAGACTCGTCTGAAGGTCCCCTTGTACCAGTTGAAAAAATTAATGGAAGTATATATGGAGACTGTTTTGTGGCAAAAATAAGGGTTTAAATACATGTAAAAAAATATATATATATATATATATATATATATATATATATATATATATATATATATATATATATATATATATATATATATATATATATATATATATGTATATATATGTATGTGTGTGTGTGTGTGTGTGTGTGTGTGTGTGTGTGTGTGTGTGTGTGTAACAAATGTTTCCTGATCTTTCTTATATCTCTCATATATAGGACAGACACTTCAGATCAAACTTCCTTTAGATTTATTTTGGGGATTATCTGTTGTTCCATGTAGTGAATCGGTTATTCAATTCGTTTGTATTGGCTAATAGCAATAAGGTCAAAAGTAATTTTTCATCCAATTATTTTATGTTTTTTTTGATACTTCAAGGGGTCTAAAAATTCTAAATCAAATGGCTAAATGAGCCTTGGTATGACCTTAAAACATTTCCATATAGCTTAGTAGAACCATGCGATGTATAATTTCACACCTGCTGACTTGTGTTACAACAAGACTAACGCAGTTCAAAGTCCTTGTTCAACAGTCTCATAAAGGGAAAATGTATCCCTCTGGTTGGGTTCCACTGGCAGTTCCACGTTTTGATGTTCACTACTGAACTAAAGGGTAAAACTCATAAAGCCTCGCCTCACTGATGCCTCTCTCATCACAACCCTTGATCAGTGTGGATGTTTTCTACATCCTCTTCTCTAAAAGGGGTCACAACAAGTTGAACCCAGAGTGCTTTAAATTGGATATTGTTACCTGCTAGTTAGAGTGAGGTCAGGATTGGGACAGTGTGCATGACCATTTGAAATAAGTAGTACCCACTAATACCCTGTACATTCTGTGGAGTGATATTGCCTCCTGGTGGCTCCTTAGGAAATGCACTCTTTACTCTGAGCTAGGTCTAAAACGGTTCACCCATACACACACTAAAATGAACCATAAACGGGCAGTCAGTGAGGCTTGGCGTCCATCCTGTTACTATCATGGTTTACAGACTAATGCACATGTTGTCTGTTGTTCCCCCATTTTGTCCTCTCCACCATGGCTATGTTTGGCGTCCTCCTGACACCGCTAGGACCTGGATAAGACTCAGGAGGATGTTTTGAAACATCAGGCTAGCATTAGTGAGTTAAAGCGCAGTTTTATGGAGGCCACCCCTGAACCGCGTCCCAGTCAGTGGGAAAAGCGCCTCACTGCCAGCCCGGCTACCAGCCTGCGTCTGCAGGCCCAAGGGGTACGTGTCCAGCCGTGTCCTCCTGTCCCACCAGCCTGCCTGCATGTCCTCTACTCTCCTCCCTGTCTCCACCTCTCTCTGATCTGTCTCCAGTCTGCAGGGAGGCCCTGGCTCCAACCTCTATCCCCTGGTTCTGACTCTCTATGTTTGATTATGATGTGACAGTTGGATATAGAAGTATCACCCCTTCTCCCTCTTCCCCTTCTCTCTGTGGTCCTAATTCCACAAACTCTCAGCAGCACTCCATACCTCCCCTCCACTAGTCCCCTGAACAGACGAGTAGATCACTCTCTAAGAATATCACTTGTCGGTCCTCTCCACACGTCACTGGATTGCATTGCTGCTCTCTCTCTCTCTCGCTCTCGCTGTCTCGCTCTCCCATCTCTCTGACTGACTGTGTTAAGTGGATTTAAAGATATTACCCATTATCCCAACTGTCACACGAGGGCCGCTGTCTGTGGGCTCCTTAATCTACCTGTAGATACTATTCTTCTCTCAGCCAATGGCTGAGCTAGCTTCTCTTCTCCCTCAGCCAATGGCTGGCTGAGCTTCTCTCTCTACTGTACTTCACCCTGTGGCTGTTATGAACCGTCAGCCTCCAATCGAATTAATTCTGACTGTCCTTTTGCTCTGAGAGTTTAGTGACTGTCTGTCCAGATCTTAAGCACTGTGGTCTCTTTTATTTCTGTTCTGAGCTGTAGCTACACATTATATTTCAATATGTCACGCTGCACCAACCAATGTTCTTTTGCGCTTGTTTTTCTGTGCTGTTCACAATTTTCTCTGCCTCTTACGTTTTGAATTTACACAGAACATAAGGGCTTATTTGCACTACTGTTGAAAATTCCATTCTTTCTGAGCTTTAATTTTCACTGCTGTATTATTTCAAAACGGTATGCTTCATTCACGTGCACTTGTGCGTCGGTGTAAACGCTCCTCCTCCTTTCAGCTGGACAAGCCTCACTTTTGAGTTCCTACTTCAAGTGTCTCCTCTTGTGATTTCCCACCCTGTGTTTCAGACCTGTGTTTGACTGTGTTGAGTGACGTACTGCATGCCTCTTGTCACTCTGTGTCTACACCCAACAAGAAAGGTGATAGTGTTCACACACAGGCCTTGGCTGGGTCCTGGACCTGTGTGATAAACAGTGTGTGTGTGTGTGTGTGTGGCATGTCTGTGTGTTGCAGATGTGCTGCCTCATTCTTAGAACACAAACCTCCATCATCCCTGTCTCTCTCTGTGTTTCAGAGCTGAACATTTCTACTCTGTCACCTTTTCCAGCTTTCCTCTCTCCAGTTTCTCTGTGATGTCACTCTGCCGCCGTTAGCCACTGTATAGTTTTAAGGGCACTTCTATGTCTTCTGTTGTGTTTTTGTACTGTGTAGACTAACTTGTGAAAGTGACAACTATTCTTCTTCTCTTCTCTCCATAAGTGTGTCTGTCCGTCCTCTAACTCTGACCTCTTTGCTTTGTCATTCTCTAACCCGTGTAGAGCTTAGAAGAGGAAATTACCTCCATTTTATTCAGTACATTTGCCTGTGAGTCTGGTCTGGTTGACCCCGGCTGTAGCACCATTAAGAACAGCAGAGGGCGCTGGCGCTGTATTCTCTGGCCCAATGGCCTCAGCTCCACTCACTGCCCAGGTGCTCCTCAGTACAGATCAAATAAAACCAACAAAACATCAGTGTCGTTACCATGCCACAACTAATGTATTGTCCATTGTTCCATCTCTCTGCTGCTATAGCAAGTTCATGACCAGTCCAGACCACCACACACAATCAAAGTAATGGCCGCATTTACAGTGTATACACATTATTGTGACAAGATGTGTCATTGGCTTGGCGATGCACAGTATGATGCAATTCTAAGTATTTGCAGATAACCTTATTCGCAGATGACATACTAATTTTGTACACAAGCTGTAAGAGATTATAGAGCAAACAAGGCTGGCCATAAACTTCGGCGTGAATATTTTCTTGACATTTCATTATCTTCTGTCATTCGCCACTTCTTTCTCTGAATGCTCATGTTCTGACTTCTTTAAGTGTTCTGTGTGTTACTACACTATATGTTTTTATGTAGAACTGTTAAAGGTTCTATTCCTACAGATGGGTAATGAGATGGTAATGTTTGTGCATGGCAGAGAGAGAGAGTCTCTTCCTCCTAACCTGCTCAGAGGGGAACCTGTACAGTGCTATGGTAACTAACCCTAGTGATTCCTGATGCCATGCTGATGTGTGTGAGTGACCGCTGCCTGTTGGTTGCCTTTGTTCCACAGAGGAGCCCCCCACCCAGAACCCAGGAGCCTCTCCCTGACCTCACAGTGGACACGGTCGCTAAGGTGGTCCCCCCCATCTAACACCCCCACCTTCTGCTATCTCTCCCCCACACATACTCTTAACCACCAGCTCATCTATCTTTTTTTATTCCAGATATCTCTTCTTCCAGCCATTCATCCATCTATCTCTCTGTTTGCTGTTTGCCATTATGCTGGCTGTTCTCCATCTGTTGCCATTTCCATCCATCCTTATGTTTGTTACGTTGGGTTTTTTAGTTGGTGTTGTTGTTGTTGTCCTTTGTTGGGTTGTGTGGTCATCTTTTACGTTATTGTTGTTCTCTCTCCATCCCGTTTGTTGTTTTTGTTCTCTGGTGTAGAGTTCAGATGACAAACAGAAATCAGACGATGCGACGTGGCAGGCAGCAGAGGTTGAGATAGAAGAGACAGTAGTCGTCGAGGAGATCAGGGTGGCCCCCAAAGGCTCCGTCACCATCACCACCCCCGAGGTGGTGGTCACCCCTGTCGCCGTGGAGACAGAGGTCGAGAAGCCCAAAGACGAAGTGATAGAGGAAGTGAAGGAGGAAGTGAAGGAGGAGCAGAAGAGGCCTGTGAGCGTGTCCTCGGACAGCCACAGTGAGAGCGAGGAGGAGGAGGCGGGGGAGTACCACCCCCAGGTCACTGTCAGCGCCTCAGTGGACCAGATCAAAGAAGAGCCTGAGGAAGAGGAGAAGGAGGAAGCGAAAGACCATGAGGAACCAGAGCAAGTTGCAGAGCCAGAACCACTCCCAGAGGTCGAGGAAGAGGCCAAGCCTGCCCCTGCAGTAGTGGAAGAAACCCCTGTGGCAGAGACAGAGACGGCCCCTGTGGCCGAAGCCCCCGAGGAGGAGGAGGAGAGCACAGAGGACATCCTGGTCACCCCTCACGAGGCCCCTTACGGGCACGCCGAGGCCCCTGAGGACCAGCCTAGCCTGGTGGCCCTAGAAGAAGAGGAAGAGGAGGAGCCCAGAGTCAACGGGGACGCGTCTCACGCTGAGACGGAGCGCCTCCCCCAGGTTATTTGTTGCTCTGAGGTAAATGAATGCCTGCTGTCTCCCAGAGCTGCGTAGTGCTGAGCCGTGCACACGCACTTCTGACCTTGAACACCACCCACCTCCCCTCCTACCTACCTACTACATACCTAGCTTCCTACTGTACCTACACACCTACCTGCTGCTTCTCTACTCTGTCTGTCCATGCTTCTCTCGCTTAGCACCTGAGCGTCACAGCAATGAACGGCTATCTGAAGGCCTTTCACCTGCACAGCGATCGCTTGGGCTATTTTTCGAAGGAAGTTAAATGTTGATAAGTGATAATCGTAAGAAATAATGGCTAATATCCCCCAGCAGCAGCACCTTCCGTTGTGGATCTGTGCCAAAGTGCTGCCCTCCTCTGTCAATCTGTACCCCCCAGACTACTTCACTGTAATCATTACCACCTCAGTGCACCACGTTTCTGTTGGTGTTTTATTTTTACTCTACGTACTGTACTGTGTCCCTTCATACATTATACATACTGTGAGCACTATGTATCGGTCGCCCCTGGGCCCTGTGTTTGTGAATTGCATGGGAGTGGAGGCGTTGTTGTTGTGCACTGCATGTTGTGTGTGTTACAGCATGGGGAGTGTCTCCTCCCCTGTATAGGGTCTTTGTTTGTCTAAGTGCTTGGGAGAGATGTGTTATTGCCTGGTCGTTGGCATTCATTACCACCGTGACTGTCTTCAAGGACTCGTCCTCCCAACCACTTAAATATCACAACGTTCATTTGTGGGAACGTCAATGCATGTCTGTGTCGTGCTGTTGGTCGCCTGTGGCAAAGATCAAAGCAAAAATGCATTGTGCAGTTACATCATAATTACTTAAATTGACTTAATTTGCCTTTTTGCATTTTCAGTTGGTAACTTAGCTTGCATGTGCTTGGTTGCATGGTTACGCCAAAGAGATTGTAGTTTATAGTTATGTGAAATTTTGTAACGTCCATTTGCAGCCTGTGCGTGAGTTCTGTTCCTTCTACTTTAGAGGTTGTGCTGTGTTTGCTTTGCCCTTGCATGTGTTATTTGCGTAGTGAAGTGGACCAGCTTGGGTGTGTGTCTGTCCTGACTCTCCCTCCCTGCCCTCCAGCCTCCTGTGGTGAAGACAGAGATGGTGACCATCTCAGACACGTTTGCGGCCCAGAAGATGGAGATTGCCACTAAGGAAGTTCCCATCGTGCACACAGAGACCAAGACCATTACATACGAGGCTGCACAGGTAGGACCACTCTTTAGATAGCCCACCACAACTATATTGCTAGTGTTCAGACGGGTAATATGATGCTCAAACTGGCTCTGTGTGTTTGTTCTCCAGCTGGACGGCAGTGGAGACGGTGAACCAGGCGTTCTTATGACAGCCCAAACCATTACATCTGAGTCGCTGTGCACAACCACCACCACACACATCACCAAGGTAACTACATGTAACCACACACATCGCCATGGTAACCACACAACCAAACACACCGCAAAGGTAACCACATGTCGTCATGGCAACCACACACATTGCCATGGTAACCTCAAAGCCACATCCATCTCCAAGGTAACGGCCCAGCTCTCCCTGGTCCATTGTGTAAACACCATGGTATGAAAACTGTTTTGCTGGGAGGACTGGATTCCAATCTGGCAGCATTATTCAGTGTAATCTTTGTGCAAATGAAGAGCAGCCAACTCTGTAGTGTCGATGCTTGGGGCTGGCACCTACCCAGCCCAGGCAGCATTCCTCTGTTGTGACTTGATGCAGACTCCTAGATGCCAAACACCAGCCCCCGTACCTGGCTTAAGCAGACGCCTAACAGCAGTGGTGCACCTGCACTGCTGGACAGTGTTGCTAGCAGGCGCCTGAAGATCTCTGGTTTTCCTATGCTCTCTTGCTGGTGGCACCAAACTCATTTATACACATAGCTGGGGATGTTTTCTCTTTAAATACTCCTCCATGGGAGCACACATGTCCACAAGGAGATACTCGGGATACTTCTAAATGAAATTTCATGAAAATCAGCTCAGTGCATAATTTAAGCCTCCTGATGGATTTGTTGTTTTACTAGTACAGTATGTCTGTGCACTTATCCTGGACATCTGGCTGTTTGCAGACATTAAAAGGTGGTCTCTCAGAAACCAGGATCGAGAAGCGCATTGTTATCACCGGTGACTCAGACATCGACCACGATCAGGTGAGCGTCAGTCAGTCACACCAATCAGACACGTCCTCTGGTGGGAACCAATTACACAGTATACCACAGCAGCTTGTACTACTGAATGGAAGTTGTCGGCCTAATACAATTCTGTCACATTTGTTCATTTAGTGAACATTTATACTTAATTATGGAAATATGATATGCCATACTACCAACTGCAATCAATCAATCCCTCGCTCATATTATGTGTAGTGAATATCTCAGCTGAAAGAGATGCATTGATTCCTGTGACAAGACCCAGCTCTCTGATTTATAGTGTCAAGAGTTTATTTTACCTCTGTATGAGAGAGAGCTCTGCTAATTTATCTGTTCTCTGGTCATTAAACTAAAGAGTACAGCAGACTGATACACTCCACACAGAGGTCCCTGTAGAACGGACAAATATTCACAACAACATATGTTTCCACAGTAGAAGTTCACCCCAAACCCCAAAGGGACAAGCATGGGCAGACGTCCAAGCCATTCCATTTGTACGTCCCTCCCCCTCCCCAACCCCTCCCATCCTTTGTCCTCTCATTTTATGTTTTGCAGATTTTTGTTGTTGTTGCCACCACTACTTTTCTCATCTGTGTCCATAATGCCTCCATTTTGTTTGTTTTCTGTTATTTTGTGCTCCATTATTTCCGTTAATGCCATCGTCTCCCTTTCCTTTTGGGTGTGTTGTTGCCGGGTCGTGCTGCCACCCCGGGCAGGCCTTGGCCCAGGCTATAAAGGAAGCCAAAGAGCAGCACCCTGACATGTCAGTGACCCGGGTGGTGGTCCACAAAGAGACAGAGCTGGCAGAGGAGGGCGAGGACTGAGGCACCAGGTAAGGAACAGAAGCCACCAGGAGGCTCCGGGGTGTGGTGATTAGAGGGGTTAGTCCCTCTGCTCTGACTCTACAGTAGCCCTACTAGCCCAAACCGACAGCACATCAGAGGCATCAGCTGGAAATAAGTCCCCCACAGGGTGGAACTAACTGTCTCTGTGTCTTTTTCTTTGAGTTCTTCATCTTCTCTGTTAACTCCCCGGTTGCTCTGTCTGCATTTATGACTGAGCTATTTTGGGATGAATTGTCAAAATTCATACAAAATGTCAGCAAACCAAAACATCTGCAGATGTAGCATTTTGTCTGAGCAAAATGTTTTGTTTTACTGGCTTCACTAACCTTGTGACATCACTGTCTGTATTCTAACATGCACAGTGCTGGCAGACTGTGGCAGCACACTCTACACTAGACAGATGACACTTCATACACAGTGGAACAGCAGATTAATGACTATGCTAATTAATTGGTGTAAGGGAGGAGAAGAGAAAACAAATATTCCCTGTAGGTGGTTAGCTTGAAATGCCCTTCACAATAGCTCTTTCATCAGTCACTCGACCTTGTCAACCTTTGGACATGGAACCATTACAATCCATTGAGGTCTCATAAAGCTTGGATCAATCCCAGAGAATTGTTTTGAAAACACCTCAATTACTTCAGTCACAAAGCAGTATCTATGGGCTCATCAAATATGAGCCAGAAGTGGGTCCATACAATAGGATAAAATGTACCCACAGCAAAGATGAGGCTCCGAGCCAATTGTTAGGGACAGCGGATCCATGGGTGCTGGGTGGATCATATGCCTTCATTACTTTGGTATTACTCTGTATAAACTAGCTCATTGCTCTGCCTCCACCCTGTCCATATAGCGGTATATGCATGGGTCGTTTGGCAAGCTCAGACAGTCCCGGACAGCCCATCATGGCAGTTGTCCGATGCACAGGGACTTGTTTACATTATAGTAAAGCTTTGGTTTGCAATCCATCTCCATGCGGAGCCTGCTCTGCACTTCAGCAATGCAATAACTGCCAAGAGGAAAGTGGGCTGAATAAAGTTGTCAATTTATTTCCTCCATTTCAGAGGTGGCCCAGATAGAGCCCCATCCAGAGCCAGCCCAGCCCGAGTGTTAGTTCTGTCATGCCTCTCCAGTTCTGCTGAATTCTGGGGAAAATGAGCATGTCTGCAGCGGCTGCTGAGAATAGAGTAACACTTTGATTGGTGAAGCAGCGTGTGTACCCTTCAATGAGAATGCTGCGGCAGCTCTTGTCAGATCATCAAGTACTTTTGTCTCGCTGTAGTCTCCCTCCTCACTACCTACCTGGCATGACGTGAGAGATACCTCTCTCATCAATATACTTTGAAGCAGGCTATGGAGTACTAGCTGGTTTGGGTTTGCCCCAAGGAGATGGTGGCTTTTAATCCAATAGGCTAGTATCTAATGAAAATCAAATGTATGCTGTATAAGCACTAAAGCTCAGGATTTGGCCACTTTCACTGAAGCAGATGAATTCTTCCTAATTAAATTAGAAAAGAGTAGATATGATCAACTGTATAATCACTGTTAATCAGTGCAAGGCAGTTGCATTACCATACCGAGTTATTTTAGGTGATTTCAATTAGAGCTCTAGACACTTCATATTTGGACCTTACCTTTAAATTACTCCAGTTGGTGGTACTCCTTCAGGCTGAATATAATATTCATTCCTCTCTCCTTCTGTCTTTCTCAGAGCTGAAGAGCCTGTGAAGTTCATACATGGATCTTTGAGAAACTCCTGTAATTTCCCAAACCAAGAGTCAACCTGGTGAGAAGACAAGGTGAAGACAACCCAGAGGCTGAACTCCTATGTGTCTGTGTTTCATCGCACACCTTCCTTTTTTTATCACTCAGAAGATAACCACTTAGCTAACATTTGTAGCATGTTTTTATTCTTTTGTGCTTTTTGCTAAAAGAAGAAAAAATGTCTCATTATTAAAACCAGGTAGGATTTATCAAGTGGTAATTTTTATTGTTGAGCAGTATTCACATTCCTAGTATGTACAGACAGCTGATGTTATGAGAAAGTACATTTCAATATCTATCTTCCTGGATTCATGCAGCTGCATGTCGACAGGTAGTTAGACTAAGTGGGTATATTAGCTTCGGACCTGGTCTTGTTCCATGTTGTCTTGGAGTCAAAATTGTATCCGTTTTTTTGGGGGGGAAAGGAAGAACAGCAAATTCATTTAATTGGGTGAGTTTCCAAGGGACCAGCAAAGGGCGAAGTACTGTGTCATTTTATACATTGTAATACAGTGCCAACACATTTTCTTCTCTATGCAGTCAAAACCGAAGCATTCCATTAAAGTGCAGGTGCTTTTCCAATACCTCCCTAAAAAAAAAAATATTTGGAAACTTTTTATTTTCCGTAACTTTCCGGCATCAATAATCAGAAATATATTTGTAGAAAATGTTATTTTTGTTTTGCAATCTTTTAAACTTTTTTGTATTTATCTGTAAACTGATTTACTGTAGATGTTGATGAGGTGGGTTTGTTTTTTGACAACTAAAAGAAACACAAAATTGCCACCATTTTAATATTTTACCTGTAGATAAAGGAGATGGCTGCCTCATGCCTAGCGCTCTCTGCAATCTGACCAACCCCACCAAACCCAATGACGGTGTCAATTTGCTCTTTGGACCCTGTGTATAGCAGATCATCTTAGATTTTCAGCAGCTTGAACATTTTGTTGTGTTTTCCCCCTCTCCACCACAGCCACCTCACCCTCTGTGTAACACTGTTTAAATAAACGTTTGTTATTCTCTAATTGGACGACTTTGGTTCCTTTTCACACCAAATCCTTCAGCTGCAAAAAATCTTTGCATACTTGCTTTCATTCTAGTTGAAGCACAAAAAATACAGACCATTTTCAGACAAGTTTTCATCAGTGCTTTAGAGGAGGCTCAGATAATGAAAAAAAATGTGCAGAAGCTTATTGTGGACTTTTGGGTTCCGTGACCTTTCAACCATATGGAATCATCCGAAAAGAACTTGAAGCATTCTTAGAATTTAATACTGATGGTACAATAAACACGATCATTTTAGTAATAAAAAATGCACATTGTCTCTGCATTCCAACAGTTTGTAAACAGTGATTTGGAATTCCATATTCTAGTCCTTTGCAGGTTGCTGCTTCACTCTGTGGCTTAGCTGGTGTTTTATCCATGATCTGGCGGTGGATAGTACTCAGTACTTATATTCAGCATCTCCATCCACTGTGCTCTCCAAGAAACACTATTGTGTCTGCATGTCCTGTGAGTTTTCAGAGGGCTGTACTGTACCCAGCAGGGCAATATCCAGTAGGGGGCCATCAACAGTTCCCCTTCTCAGGTGTACATCCTCCCCCCAGCCCGTCGTCTCTGCCTGTGTGATGTTTTATTTTATTTTTATTTCACCTTTATTTAACCAGGTAAGCCAGTTGAGAACACGTTCTCATTTACAACTGCGACCTGGCCAAGATAAAGCAAAGCAGTGCGATAAAAACAACAACACAGAGTTACATATGGGGTAAACAAAACATCAAGTCAAAAATACAACAGAAAATATATATACAGTGTGTGCGAATGTAGTAAGTTATGGAGGTAAGGCAATAAATAGGCCATAGTGCAAAATAGCTACAATTTCGTATTAACACTGGAATAATAGATGTGCAAAAGATGATGTGCAAATAGAGATACTGGGGTGCAAATTAGCAAAATAAATAACAATATGGGGATGAGGTAGTTGGGTGGGCTAATTTCAGAATGGCTGTGTACAGTTGCAGTGATCGGTAAGCTGCTCTGACAACTGATGCTTAAAGTTAGTGAGGGAGATAAGTGTCTCCAGCTTCAGAGATTTTTGCAGTTTGTTCCAGTCATTGGCAGCAGAGAACTGGAAGGAATGGCGGCCAAAGGAGGTGTTGGCTTTGGGGATGACCAGTGAGATATACCTGCTGGAGCGCATACTACGGGTGGGTGTTGCTATGGTGACCAGTGAGCTAAGATAAGACAGGGATTTGCCTAGCAGTGATTTATAGATGACCTGGACCAGTGGGTTTGGCAACGAATATGTAGTGAGGGCCAGCCAACGAGCGTACAGGTCACAATGGTGGGTAGTATATGGGGCTTTGGTGACAAAACGGATGGCACAGTGATAGACTACATCCAATTTGCTGAGTAGAGTGTTGGAAGCTATTTTATAAATGACATTGCCGAAGTCAGTTTTACGAGGGCATGTTTGGCAGCATGAGTGAAGGAGGCTTTGTTGCGAAATAGGAAGCCGGTTCTAGATCTGACTTTTGATTGGAGATGCTTAATGTGAGTCTGGAAGGAGAGTTTACAGTCTAACCAGACACCTAGGTATTTGTAGTTGTCCACATACTCTAGGTCAGACCCGCCGAGAGTAGTGATTCTAGTCGGGTGGGCGGGTGCAAGCAGCGTTCGGTTGAAGAGCATGCATTTAGTTTTACTAGTGTTTAAGAGCAGTTGGAGGCTACGGAAGGAGTGTTGTATGGTGTTGAAGCTCGTTTGGAGGTTTGTTAACAGTGTCCAATGAAGGGCCAGATGTATACAAAATGGTGTCGTCCGCATAGAGGTGGATCCGAGCGTCACCAGCAGCAAGAGCGACATCATTGATATACACAGAGAATAGAGTCGGCCTGAGAATTGAACCCTGTGGCACCCCCATAGAGACTGCCAGAGGTCCAGACAACAGGCCCTCCGATTTGACACATTGAACTCTATCTGAGAAGTAGTTGGTGAACCAGGCCAGGCAGTCATTTGAGAAACCAAGGCTATTTAATCTGCCAATAAGAATGGGGTGGTTGACAGAGTCGAAAGCCTTGGCCAGGTCGATGAAGACGGCTGCGCAGTACTGTCTTTTATCGATCACGGTTATAATATCGTTTAGGACCTTGAGCGTGGCTGAGGTGCACCCATGACCAGCTCGGAAACCGGATTGCATAGCGGAGAAGGTACGG